AAAATTATCACAACCTCCCTGTTTTAAAGGATTTACACAGACCATTAATGGTGTATTCCAATTTTTTGAAGCAGAGAAATCTAATGATATTGTATTTTTAATGACTAATCGTTTAAATCARGATATTTTAGAAAATCTTTTTAGTAGGTATTTTTTGACAAAATGGTGGTTATAACAAAAACCTAACAGCTAGAACAATCAGAAATTCCATAAGAAGTAATTGTATTTTTTCTTTATGTACTTCAAAAGGGATAAATTGTGAGGCAACCCAAGTAGATAATAATCCAGTAATAATTGACSTAATACGACCACTAAGTAAAATAAATTTTAACAGTTCGTCATTATCATCTAATTCAGACAGAAAGTAATTCTAATTTATCTCTCTGTTTTTTTCATCTGGTGAGGATTTAAATAATACTGATGGTAAYAATGATATTACTTTAGAAGACTGTCCTGTTACATATTTTGCAGGATATTTGGGCTATAAATGTATGAAAACATTTAATTGTAATTTGTAACTAATGTCAACTTGAATTATTTGTTGATAAAAACTTAAATGATAAAAAGCAGTTGCATCTTCTTAATAAAAATTATAATTCAATTGAAAATGAAAGTGGGCTTAACCTAACCATCAAATAGCTTAAATAATATAGTAAATAAAATTTTAAATATTTTTAAAAACAATCATAAAAACTATTTGCATAAAAATACTGATTCGTAAGTTAGAGTTGATGGATGTTAATAATATCATATTAAAATAGCTCAGTTCATATATATCGGGTAGATCTCTAAAGGTAAGGCTCCACGGTTATGTTTTTAATAATATTTCCATCCCCTCAGGTGTCCCACAAGGTGGTCATATTTCACCACTACTTTTTATTTTATACATGAATGATGTTTGGTTAATTTTTAAACATGCACAGTTTAGTATGTTTGCACATGATTTAAAGGTATATTACAATATCAATTCATTAAGTGATGGCTCTAAATTACAAGAAGACTTCGACAATTTTAAAGCCTGGTGCTATAATAATGGTTTACTAGTCTTAATAATTAAAAAAATAGTAATAAATAACCACAATATATTTTGTAACGTCACAGAATTTTGAATCTCTTATCTTATCCATTTAAAGATATTATTATATAATATCACAAAACTGTTCTGTGATAATAATATGTTCCATWGTGTAGATATTCTCCAAGGTTTATAGATCATCTATAAACCTTGAGCATTCTCGGTAAATTATGCGCGCAACAATATTGTTTTATCATTACGCACGACAATAATAGCGTTAATAATTTATGATATAACAATTCCCCATTCCCCCCCGATCGCCGGATCACCTCATACGACAACGACAGTGTTCATACGCTCGACACGAGGCTGCCGCCCATATTATATTAATTATAATAATTATCATATTATAATAATGTATAAAAATTTAAAATCCACTATGCGAGATACGACGCACGACGCACTCTTCCATCACCAACAACCAAAACCGCCGCAACGGACGACGTCACGAGTAYTCACGACGAAATACGAACTACGAACCAGTCGAACTACTACACGGTACACATTTCTGAATGTTTTCACCACCGACGACTCGGCACCTCGTCACCCGGATTTGTTTTCTTACGCGTCCACGTGATCGGTCATTGTTATTTTTACGTTGTGTTCATTCATAACTGCCGTCTGCCATAGCACAACAATGCGGGCGAAGCTTTCCTACCAACCAACCAGCCGAGCTCATCACCTCAAGACACCAGTCGTAATATTTTTCTCCCATTTTCCCCTTTTTTCAATAAACGCTGTCTATTAATGTTTTTTTTTTCCTATATGACGTCTGGTTCAGCCGACATCCCTGCAGCAGGGAGTTTCTTTCCACGCCGCAACACCTGCGTCGCAGACTTCCATCGAAGCTCCGGTCACCGTCACCCCGTTGTTCATGTCGTTACACGTAGCCCAGCGAAGACCTGATGCGATGATTGTGGTGTGGGTGATGTACTGATGTTGTCTCGAACACACGCTAATATGTTTTATTCCCTACTCTCACTGCTCTCAGTCCTTTCATTATTATTATGCACTTGCCATGTGTCAAAATAATATTATTCTTGTATTGTGCACCTGCCATGTGCCATTTTAGATTACTATAWTATTATTATTATTATACACTATTCTGCCCCGTATAAAATATAATCGCATGATTGCTTTTTAAATTCTATTTTTATTATTTCCATTATGTTTTCCCCCCTTTTATATAAGTT